TCAGAAATCATAACTTATCAGAGTCTAGCAACATACCTACAATCCAACCTGAGCAAAGGGAGTTAGACTAACAGAAAACAATTAACAATAGTTCAAAGGTTTAAATACTGAACATGTTTCTACCAGCACGTTGTTCACCCTTGTTGCACCTTCTGTGCGGTGATTGCCGAATTTTGGACCCTGGATTTCCTCCAGGTATTCAAGACATCCCCCACACCAGCAGAAAATAATGTATTGTGACTCATTCTGTCATTTCCCATCACTGTGTTTCTAACCCCAGAACTAGAGTTGTTGTGCAATACTACTATAAACCTAATTATCAGTAATCACACTTCTAGCCAGATAAGAGTCGGAGCTATAATTCTTCCACAGGTTTGAACAAGCTTGCCCAGAAAGGCATTAGTGCATAATTAATGGATCTACAGGGAATAATGTGCTGTTAAATAACTGTGGGGGGAAAACACAAAGTAATCTAACAGAATCACAAAATGTTCAGTTCTCCTAATCAAGTGAATTTGCTGTATAGAATTCTACTTAGTGCCTGGAGTAATACCACAGAGACCATGGCTTCTGTTTCACCACATACGCTTTATTTATTTATCTTTTAAAAGGGATGATGTAGAGCAACACTGTAAAGAAAACTGTATAATATTTTAATGCAAATTATTTAAGCAAATCAGCATCACTCACATTTTATGCTTTTAACCATAAAAATTTTTTTAACCTAAAAGCACTTACGCTACATATATCTACATAGATTCTTCTATTTTTGTTCTATTAACACTCAGTTTTTTTTATTCTTTATCCTCAAGCCTACTCAAGTTCTTTTGTCTTCAGTACTTTCAACAGAATTACAGAGAAACACAATGAAGATGGAAAACTGAGAGCCAGAATGGTGAGGAAAGATTGAAGAGGAGGTGCTATTAAATGACAGAGAGGAAGCGAAGGGTGGCGTAAAACAGACACTTCACGGACAGCAAATCCCAAGGAGTTTTATTCAATTAGCTTAGAAAGTTTTTGTTTCAAAGTCAAGAGTGTCACCTGGGAGCCGAAGACCAATTCAGAGTCCTCTAAACACGGCAGTGTGCCAATTTAAGGTCCTAACCACGAGGTCAGAGAGACAGGAGCAAGGAGCCAGCGAGAGGGAGAGAAGGAGAGAGACGTTAGAAGACGACAAGGCTTTTTTGCACACACACTTCTACTTTCACACTGATTTTATAAAGGTCAGTCCCCATGAGTACCTGTCTAGGAGATTCAAGTGTCTACTCTGCTCTTCTCAAAGCCTTAATGCTATCCTCTCTATCTCCCTCACACACAGACACACACTCCCAGTAGAACAGGTCAGCTCATTCCCTGAATGAATCAGAGGCTGTCTGATTTTTTCTTTTTTCCTCTCACCTGCATGTCTTTCTCTCTTTGTGACTTTGCATCTCTGTTTGTGCCCTCACTCCTCTCTCTCTATCTCCACTCGACTCCTGCAAGCTTCTTTTGTTCTTTCTGTCTCTCGTTCCATCTACTTGCTTCTCTGCCTTCGTCTTACTTTACTCCTTGCAGTTAATCTGAAACGCTCTTCACCCATTCTTAAACTTGAAATACTTTTTTGGCATAAAAAAACAAAAAACAACTACAAAAAAAACAAAAACGCTTTCAATTCAAGAGTAGGCTACAAGTAGAAAAATATCACTGTCTAGTTGTATGTGATTTTCAGCTGCATTTTTAATATCTAATCAAAATAATAATGACCACAATTTATGGTAAATGAGCAGGAAAATGAACAGTTTACAAACCAAAAGTGAAACTTTAGCAACTAACAGAAAAGAAGTTAAGGGTCTTTTTATATTTAAAAGGCTTATTTGAGCATGTGCACGTGTGTATGTGTGTGTTCATAAATGTTAACTGATGAATCATCCTAACTAAAAAGTAAAATAAAAAAGTTCAACATTATGGATAAAAAATGATTTCCTTTCTTGCAAATATTTATATAAAATGATTGGTATCAGTCTTTCAAGGCCTTTACATTAAGTATGCAGGTGGTACTCATCAGTCTGACTTTGCCCAAACACTGATTTTTAAAAGGAAGAGCTACTCTGGCTACTCTCTGGTAAAAAAAACTAACAAAAAAAACAAAAACAAAAAGTAACTACCATGATCATCACTATTTAATAATGTTGTATATTTATTGTTGTGCGCTTCCCCTCTTTAATATATAGAAAAAAGTGAAGTCAAGGCAATTAACTGTCATGGTGTGTAGGTTATACATAGTGTGAGAAATGTGATGAAGAGGGCCCAAGATCCTTACACAGGATGCAGGCAGGAATTAACCAAAGAAAGACATTTATTTAGAAAGTCCTGATTTTCTGTCTTCTTTCTCAGAATTATGAAAAAAGTCAGAATTCTGACTTTATTGTCTGTAGGTTTTAATATCAGGTTTAATGTAGACATGAAAATGTAGTCATTCTTGTCATCTTGGTAGAAAATATAGTTTGTGATATTAGTAATGTGATATCATTACTTTAATTGGGAATAGTTGCCCCAGTAAATTTACATCAAACTACAAGAACATCTTACAGGTGGAAGTCTAAAACTGAAGGCACAGCTAGGTAATATCATTACAACAAGATCAACTGGTAGCATACTGTATTTTCCGCACTATAAGGCGCACTTAAAATCCCTTAATTTTGTCAAAAATCAACAGTGCGCCTTATAATCCGGTGTGCCTTATGTATGAATTCTGGTTGTGCTTACTGACCTCGAACCGATTTTATGTGGTACACGGCGCTCAAAAATCTGTCAAGAAATGTTTTAGTATGACTTTGGTAAGTTACGAAGCTGCACCGCTTAATGGATTGTCAGAGCATTACGGCTACCGTAGTCAGGAGCCTCATGGAGTAATCTGGGTCCAAAACTCCGTCAACTTCAGGTCCCAAAGTCAAACGAACACTGCGGCATCACTCAGAGTTAAACACTGTCTAAATTCTTTCATCTTTAATAAAATGATCAGCGTTGCTGCTTTACCAGGTGTAACAACTAAATTTAACATCCAGGCATCCATGAAAACAGAATTTATTAAATTTAACGGAATTAAGTTAGCAGGAAGTTAGCTCACTAGTTTCTACCTAAACATTATATAGCATGTTCTGACTGAGAGATTTCTGAAAAAATTAAAACGTACAGCTCAGCTATCACTTCCAACATAAATGTAGAAAGGAAAGTAAACAGCAGTGACGTTTGTAGGGTTACTGAAGTTCGGCTAGCTGGTATATAATGATGTGCTACGTGATTGCTAGCGACACAGCTATGTTAGCATAACATAAACAGTGAAGCTGGAGGACGAACGCTAACTTTTTTCCACTCGATAAAAGTTCCCAATGCTGTAAACAGACCAAACTTCAGTCAGGAGAATTGAGATAATTAATCCACAATACAAGGTTAGTCATTAATATACTGCAACAACACAGGAATGGAGGAGCTGCGAGAGAATTCAACATTAATTAATCAATGGTACGGAAGTGGAGGAAGCAAGAAGAATGAGTTGAGTAAAATTTGATCTGATTTTTTTTTTTCGTTTAATGCACCTTATAATCCGGTGTGCCTTATGGTCCAAAAAATACGGTATTTGGGTAGCTTATGGGTGGATAAACAAAAGTGAAGCAGGTTTACAAAAAAAGGGTTTTAGCTGTGAATATAACCTGAGGTTAAGTATATTAAAGTGGCATAAGTAAGCCAGTTCTCCATGGTTTCAGATAGAGATGTAAAAATTCACTCCCAATTCGTTCTGGGTTTCTGCTAAGTGTATGCTCACTAATAAGACATTTGCCAACCTGCTAAATGTACTCAGTGCTGTCTTCAGTGGTTACTGCTGCTGATGCTGTACACATGACTGAAAGATCACTCAAATACACCCACACTGAGTTTTCCTGTTCTTCTGGCAGGTTGAAGATTGATGCTGCAGCATTATGTTAATGAGCATCTCTGCTGTCCAATCACACGCTTCACTGACCAAGAGACAGGCAGATGATGTGGATGGGAAATCAAAAGAGAATGGTGAGGTATAAGTAAGAGAGAGGAAAAGAGCAGCATGGCAGAAAAGTGTAGTAAAGTAGACAGATAAAGAGAGCAGTCATGGTGAGAAAAACACTACGGCAGAGGTTTGCAGGCATCCTGCATCTCGAGGAATTTCCATCAACATTATATCAAAAAAATAACTGAAGTAATATATTAAGAAAATCATTTGATTAAACAGGCCTTCGGAATCATGTATTATGGTTTGAGTTGCATATTTGACCTGGGAGACCACATCTCTTGTACGTCTCCTTGTGGAGCACACATTAGACATCAATTTCTGGATAATACACTGGATACACTTTCCATAATTCATGACTTTAGAAATTTTGAATCTGATAATAACCTGACCTCACAGGAAGAGTAAAATACAAGCTTTGGGAACACTTTATAATAGCTACTGTTATTAAATAGGAACTTGACAGGTAATTAAACTTCTCTTAAAAGATAATTACAAAATTACACAATGGAATGAGTTCGGTTTATGCACCGAAACTACAGTGTAGGATTTAACAAACCATGCTTAAAATCTACTCATCCACAACCTTAAAACTGGACAATGGAAAATTTTGCTTAAAGGGTGCATACTGTATTAAAATGGGGTCCTGCCATGGCACAGATACCACAGTACACCTTCATCCATCTCTGTGTCCAACAGTTTTAGACACACGGCAAAAGAAAGTCTTGCTGTTATAATTCCATATACAATAAATAATATAATTATTTTAAATTACCCAAATGTAATTATTGAATTAACAACTGATGGCGTAACTAATCATTCAGAAACATTATTAATTATCATTAATTAATTATTATATATTTTGTTTGTTTATTTTGTGAATTAAAATGTATTAAATTACAGATTACAAATTACTATTTCAAAAATGTTCACGTGTTTTAAAGGTTACCAAAACAATGTGTTTATGTGTGAGCCGTACCTTTTTCTCAGCCTCCCGTTTGGCATATTGCAGCAGCATTGGCTCTCCGTGTTTCTGATAGTATGCTCTCTGACAGCGGTCTGACAGGGCCGGCTCATTAGGAAGAAAGTTGCTGGCCCACACCTATATGAAAGCAGAACGCTGATTATGATCATGATGATGATGATGGAGATGACAGATGGAAAAACATAGACTCTAGAATAACTTAATATATACATGTGTGTGTGTGTGTGTGTGTGTGTGTGTGTGTGTGTGTGTGTGTGTGTGTGTGTGTGTGTGTGCGCGCACGCGCATGCGGTTACACTACAGTGTGTTTAGATAATCAAAGGGTTATTAAGTGAATCTACCCACTTTTTCCCCACTGCCCTGATTCCAAATGACCACATTACATTTGCTATTTAATAGGGTGATTTATCAATATCACTCAATCAATAAATGTTTTACAGATGCAGAATTCAAGCTTTCAAAACACTTTCTTTTCTTTCAGGCTTCTCATATTGATAAATGGGTTTTCCCCTGCAGCCACAGGCTTTCATTTATTTCAATACAAAGTAAAAATCAGTTCCCATACACTAAAACTTAATTAAGACAGGTACTTTATCAATGTGAAAAGCACTGACTGGCCCTGAGAATGTATTTTCTCGATGTGCTCCCCAGTCAGAACCTTTTGTGAACCCGGTTTGGTTCACAAAAATAGATTTGGACTATTGTGACACCCTTCTCTCTGCCTCCAATAAAGTTCTTGTCTATTCTTAATGAAATCTGGCCGACACCTGGGTCTTCATCTGAGGCACTCAGTGGGTCTAGAAAGTTTCTGTTGGAAAAGAATTACTTGCAAGTCATAAGATCCTATTGCACATGGGCTCAAAATTATCTACTGAAGTTGAAACAGTTGTTACACATTAGAAATCTGCTGTTCTGCTACTGTCTAAGCTCATCACACGCAACTAATCAAATTGACCAAGGCTGTGTTTCAAATATGGTGCCAAATGCTTATAATTATAATCTATTGACATTTGTTGGGCTTTTTGCTTAATTTGTCGACAACTACCAATCAAGAATTGGAGCTCTAAGGTTTAAGATGTATGTGAATAAACTCTAGTGAGTAAGGAAGTAAATAAGAAAGTGAATTATAAGGAAACACATAGTGAAAATACTCCAGGAAAATAATTGAAAGTTAGCAAAAATGACAAATCTCTGTCATTGCGACACCTGCATTTTTTTTTTGTCTACTCTACTGTGCTTGGGATCACTGCCCTGTTACATTACCCAGTTTTGGGCAAGCCTTAGCTCTCAGACAGCCTCACATTTGACTCATGAATATTTTGGAATACAGAAGAGTTTGTGGTCAACTCAATGACTGAAAAATCGAAAGTTTTGTGGTTTGTACAAATGCAACTTTGCAAATCTAAGATGTGCTGTCATGTTATTTTAAGAACAAGCATGGCTTGTTTGTCTTCCAAACAAGCCATGCTTGCTTGGTACTTTTCTATTTGTGCCCTTGGGAATTTTAATATTTAACATGCTAACTGAAGCCTGTAGATGAGTTTGAAATGTAGCTTTTAATTTTTCACTGGGCACTGCACAGTCTGACATCTGACATCCATTCCTGGGAAAATTGAGGCATTGTTTTAATGTTCCAGACCAGCCAAACCCAATACTGGTTCTCCCAGAGGTGTCTTCCTATTCAAAGGGAGTTTTCCTTTCCAATGTTTCCAAGTGCTTGCTCATAGAGGATCATTTGATTGTTGGGGTTTCTTTCTATTTTTGTGGGGTGTTTACCTTGCAATACAAAGCACAATGAGCTGACTGTTATTGTGATTTAGTGCTACATAAATAATACTGAATATAATAATTTAATTTTATAGACATGAGCACACTTGCTGATGATCAATTAATCAAGAGTATTTGATTATCTGTACTTGGAGGCTGATAACTCTGTTAATTCCTATGGAAGCAGTAAGGGTGTACTTGCAGTAAGGTTTCAAAGTCCTGTGAAACCTTTTTTTTTTGCTTTGTACACACAAAATTAAATTCTTGTGATAATTGCACCTGGCAAGAAAAATAAAAACAAAACAACTGTCTTGATCGTTAACAGAGACAAACAAATTGTTCAAACTTTGCTCTCATCAACCACCAACTGGCATTCCCCACCAGGCTATGTTTACTCTAAATGAAACAATGGTATTATCTCTGATTGAGAAAGTGAGCATCCCTGGAGAAAATGATGCTGCAACATATTCATGCAAATTTATGAAACAAAAGTATTTTTTTGGTTTCACACTATAGTTCAGCTGCATTCTGGGAAGCTTTATATGGATAATAGTGAGCATCAGACCAGACATTTGCATTACCCATGCAAAATATAGGATTTTAATGGCTGTAAAAGCAGTGCCAAATAACTCAACTTGACAGTGCACGTTAAATGATTGCCTAAGACAACTGTTACTGAGGTTTTGAATGAGGCACTGTATTTAATTTGGGGTTTCTTAAGAACATCACTGCCTCCCTACATATACTTGTGCTCATTAGTGTGGATGCAGAGTAGACAATGCATTGTATATTCATCCTCTAAAGACTGAAAACTTCACCAGAATATTGATTAGGTATGTGGCTGCTTTGTGTGCATACGTCTGTTCTTTTAAGGTATTTCTTTCTACTATGGTGATCTTGCTTTCTAGTGGGATGTCTTTTTTAATATTTGTCAATTTTATTGGAATCTTTTAGGTCTTCCATAGTGTTCTGAAATCGAAAATAGCATATTTGTGTCAGGCATCAGGAGTAGATTTTCCAGTTAAATCATTCCACTATATGATGAACAGAGTAATAACCAGAGGCATCCTCTGATGCTTTAAACACCACCGCTTTACACTGTGTTGGAGATTCCTTTCTGATTTCAGACTTTTTTTCTTTTTTTACCCATACTGTAGTGCAGGGATAACACAGTGACAGATTTGAACCTGTCAACCTTTCCTGCTTTGAATACAGAAATTTTAGGTGGAAATGCAAAATGGTTCCTACTGAGTGCAGGCTGGAGCTTTCATGTTCTCACGGTGCCTACGTGGCTTCTCTCTGAGTATTCCAGCTTCCTCCCACAGTTCAAAGACATGCATGTTAGGTTAACTGGTGATTTAAATTAACTGTAGGGATGAATGTGAGCACAAATGCTTGTCTGTCTCTCTGTGTTAGACCTGCAACAGACTGGATAGGATCCTGGGATAGGCTCCATAGCCCTCACAACTCTGAATTGGGTATGTGGAAGGAAATAGATGGATGATAATCAAGATTTTCTTCTTCGCTTTCAGTCAGTTCTGCTGACCTTGCCCAATAGTTGTCATATTAACATGGGTTTGGATTTATGAATAATACTTAGCATGTAATAAAACAAATGCAATAAAGTAATACTTTTAAGCAGCTGGAAGTTATTAATGTTTCCTGGCATGTTGCCTCAAGCTGTGATAAGACCCTTTCCACAATCACTGCTGTAGAAACTAGATTTATGTTCATATTAATGGCTTTTGGCTAAAGGCTGCACCATGCTTTTTCAAGCATGACCCTGGGAAGGCAGAAAGAAACAGACTTTGTTGTGTTTTTATTAAATGTGCACATGCTGTTTATCTTCATACTTCCCGGTACGTGTAGATACATACATGCCTGCCAACACCTGCAGTTTTGGGTCTATTTGTACACCTGTGTTTTGTGTACATTAATTAATGGCCAACAGGAGACTGCTAATTCTCAAAGAGAGAAAATTAAAGAGAACACAGACAAGAAAAACAAAGAATGTAATTACTCTGGCAAGATAAAACTTCTGAAAAAAAGGTATTATCTTTTACTGCAAATAACAACATCATCATGGCTTTTACTTCAGCTTCCAAGTATAACATCTGAAATAAAATATATACTCTGGAAATAAATATTAACTCAATGAATATCTGGTCCTCACGGTCAATTCGTAGCACTTTGCAAAATTAATTTTCTATATTCTTTGGACTGCTTACATAAAAAAAAATATATCACTATTCCAGAGGCATATGTTTTCCTTCCTCCACTTACATAAAAATACATAAAGCTCTTTTCCTTTGAGACCAAAGTTATCAGAAGCAATGCTGCCTCCAGAACATGATTAACATTTTCTGTTGATTATTCTTCAAAGTCTTAGATCTACCCTTCGTATGTGTTGGCCTGGAGGGGTTGCCTGGCTGTACACATAGACGAACACACGTTTTAAACCACTCTTTTTTCTTGGACTTTGATGTCTAAAGCAAGGGAAATCTAGTCTGCAGGAAAATCCTAAATAAATAAATAATAAACATTTTCAAAAAGCCCCACCAAAGACTGGATCCGGGTTTGATTCTTGATCTTTATAACAGACATGAAAAACTAAATACATATGTGTCCTTTTTATCTATTTACAGTAATGGAAGTGTATTATAGAAATTTGGTGTATAGAAAGTATACGTATCTTCAACAAACTTGGATTATTTCTATTACAACCCTGTTATTTTGAGGTTGCGTACTGCCATCTGTTGGTCATTTCTATATTTCAGAAAATAGCAGCTGATTCAGATTCTATTATGGTTTTGCTTCTATCTGTGTAGTGATGAGCATAATATTGATTTTATTTATTATTTTTCATTGATTGCCAAAAGGGAAGAAACTAATCAACTAAGCCAATAGAAATCCTTTTAATAAAGCTTAAGAGTTAAGAGGGTGACATCAGCTTTGTTTTCAACACATTATTTTAACTATGCTTTTAAAAAAACATAAGAAAATCAGCCCAGCGGTGTTTATCAGAGCTAAAACATCTCTATGATTTTGTCTCTGTTGTTTGCTCAACATCACACAGTAAGGTGACAGTTTGACAGGAAATGCCTCCCTATTTCAAGTTTTAGTTCTGCCTTATTAAAAGGCAGGAAAATATGAGCACAAGAAAATAGCAAAGCTGTAAGGTGTGATTTGTCTTTAGAAAAAGTAATAAAGGAAGAAATGACGACACACAAATACAGAATTGTTGATAATTTCTGGATGAAAAGTCAATTAACAGCTTCTGTGCTGAGGCTTGTCTGGCTCAAAAACTTTTATATGAAAGCTTTGCTGTTGGTTTTTTTTTTTTTTTTTTTTTAAATCACTTCTCATCTTCATTGTCATAAACTGGTCGCTCAGATGTGCAAATTGGACCAACGAGACAGATTTGTATTGCAAATGTGTGATAAGAGAATTTAAGGTTTTGATGCTGCAACATGAAAGTAGCTGGAATGAGTGTATGTATATATTCTTGCACTTATTCTCACTGTGAGGACATTTCATTTATCAATGAAGATGAAACGTTTGTGGGAAATTAGATCCAGCATTGTTTTAATTGCCCTTTCTCACATGTCGCACACAAGAGGAGATTACTACTGAAATGTGAGGTCGCTGCCAACGCAGAGCATGCAGAAGGAAGGACAGACTATTCTCACATGGCCACAATCAGACATCACACAGACTTTCTGCTAGGAAGCTGGCAGGTTAAAGACAGTTTAATGGTCGATTCAACTCATTATGACATTTGCATTCTAACAAGCATCACCATGACTGCAGTGCATATGCCAAATCAGGTAATGTGTGCATCGCTTACCTGGCAGTGAGGATGTGGATTTGAACAACCCATCATAGCACCCTTATTCTCGAAGATCTAAAAACAACAGCAGCAACAACAACAACAACAACAAAGCAGCAGAAGTTAACACAGGATTTAGATAGCTGTTCTTATCTAAACAGCATGCATTTTCTGGGCTGGATTGGTTGACACCAAGTATGAGTATCTGAGTATTAGGTGTTATATGAATTTCCATATCTAAGGAATTATGACAAAATGCTGAACTGAAACAAAAGGTGTATTTTTTAGTTGGGTCCAAATAAGTGTACATCCTACAAATGAACAAAAAAAAGCTTCCAAAAATATTATTTAATATTTGGCATGTGGCACATTTGAAGTTAGACATCTTGCCCATGTCCTGCTTTATTTGAAACAGCTGTTTGAATTTGTGAATTTGACCGGAGGCGTCATTAAAGTTTTATGTGATCCAATAAAATACATATTAACGTGAAAAACTAGAGACGGCAGAAAATTGAAGGATCTGTGACAGGGTAAAAAGGTTAGCAGGTACAATTTTAGATGTATCCAGCCCTGGGAAAAATAAAATCAATAATGTGACTGTGTTTGTGTGTGTGTGCGTGTCAGAGAAAGTGAGAATATTGCATACCTGAACCCATGGGTATATAGTGCCTAGTTCCTCAACAAGCTCCGCCCACTTGTCTATCACGTTTACAACCTCTTCTTTTTTCATGAGAGGGAGCGTGACGTCTGACCAGGGATGGAAACACATGACCTTACTGAGGAAGGCATTTAAAAATGAAAAAAAAGAGAAAAAGAGGAAGGAAAGGTGGTTATTGGTGTTAAAAGACTGAAACAGAATCTAACACTTGCTGAATTAATTAACCAGGATCAGCTTCTCAAAATTAATTAACATTAATAACTTAACACGGCACTACCAAAAAGGAAAAAAAAACAAAAACAAAAACAAGAAAACCTATTATGATGCCTATAATAACAGCAAATTTGAGTCTTCAGAAATTTTAGCCTGCACACCAGAGGGTAATGTCATAGTGGCTTAATCGATCTTTTATCCAGGCAACAGTCTACGCACTTACAGTAGCATTCAATGCAGATAAGACGGTGGAAATGTCACTAGTTTTTTATAGGGATTTGGGGTGATGTGTTCCTTGTGTTGTTAGAGGTTCATTTAAGACACATTACATTGTTGCTGTTGCTCTTTTTGTGAATAATAAGAATTGAATGATGTCATTGTTTTAGTATAAAACAGACCCTTGCTCTGTTTTTGAATTCCCTGGTTAATTAAAGCAAAGTGATAATCTGGGGGAAGGTAAAAGTCATTGCTATGCACTTCCCATAAACTGCCTGTCAAATACAGCTACACAGCCTTTACTTTTGATTTTCTGTTGACTCTCACATTGGCAGGGCCCTGGGGTTCAGTTGAAAAATTACTGCACATAAAAGCAAAGCTGACATTTTGCTCCTTTTAGATTTAGATGAATGTCACAAACAGACATGGATTACAACTACTGGTTGAGTTCAATCTTGTTTTTAAGAGGTAATATTATAAAAAGTGAAGTCAAATAGTCAGTGGAAACAGAATGGAATTGGTCTATGAAAAACAGAGCCAAATAACTGAACACAGAGTAATAACCCTAAAAAATGTCTGCAGGAAAAAAGAGAATGGAAACAAATGCTGATGGATATGTGAGAAAGTGAAGGTGCCATTAATAAATTGTGTATTCTTCATGTTCACTATATAAGTTAAACTACCTCACCTGGCAATAAAGTCTAAAGTCTAGATATAAACTACGGTTCAAAATAAATAAATAAATAAATAAATATATATAAAAATGTGAATTCTATGACAGCTGTGAACAACTATTTGCGTTATTTTTAGAGTCTTCCTTTGTGCAACCAAACAAAACAACCTTTTTAAGCAACCAAAATAGTTGTCACAACTATAACATCGTATGTTACATTTAATGAGCCAGACTCCTAACGATAATAAAGGTTTATTCAGCTAAGAAAAAAAAAGAAAAAAAAGAAAAAACAAAAAGCATGAGCTTGGTTAACAATGGTTTATCAACTTTGCACAGATGTTAGATGTTAGATGTTAGGTGTGTGTGTGTGTGTGTGTGTGTGTGTGTGTGTGTGTGTGTGTGT